TTGTTGGAACATCCCTTAAAAAACTATTTTCCCGAATTCCAAGGTGAGAATTATTTGGTGCCATTGAAACCCCTAACTTAATTATATTTTGCCTCCTCAAATTCCTTACATGTTCATATTGCAACAAAGAGTAACGAAGCTTTGTTCAATTAACACATAAATTAATTTGCATACTTAAAAAAAACAGGCAGACTAACTAACAATACATTCACAGATATATGTGCATGTATTTATGTGTCAATTATAAGCTTTTTTAGCTTTTGTACTTTTAGTTTGTTAGGCTGCCAGCGACGGTCGGGCCAGCCTAATGAATTATTACAAATGGTGTTATAATTCATGATTGAAAATAGTTTTATATTGTTGATAACCTTATATTTGTGGAGATCTAATCATGCATGTAGGCTATTCTTGCCGTCAGATTTATGTGTGGTTTGATCATGCTGTTGCCTACGGTTCTTTGATTTGCGCTCTGATCTCTTCACCAGTCAGCACAGGATCTACTAAGTGAAAAATCGTTTTTATAAATCTAAAACAAAATATGATCACTTCAAATGTGCTTAAAAAGAGCCACATTTCTGGCAAAATCTTGAAGTTATTTGGCTCAGAATGTCCTTTCACCAAAGCCTTGAACTTGACCAGCATATGAACTATCAATTCGGCACCAATTAGTTCTTTTAGTCCAAAGATCTGGACAGTTAGTCATGGGATTGCTTGAACCACCGGCGAAAAGGAAGGAAGAAGACCTAACAATAAATAATTAGGCGCTATGATCACATTACTTAAACAATTGCTAAATTACCAATTCCGATACTTCACTATCTTTTTTTTATAAGTGATTGGGAATTCGCCCTTAGAAGCCATTCAATCTGGATTGTCCAGGATGAGGTAAAAGGTGTATTTTGGGCTTAATTTAAGTCAAGAAACACTTTGGAAAGGTGGGTTTGTCGAAGAAAGCTTTCAGTGAATCAGCAGAATATATGAGCTCATAAGCCGAGCATGATATCATTTAGGGCTTCTAGGACTACAACATCTTATTTATGCTTAGCCCCTTGCCCTCTCCTTCTCTACTTGTCCTATCAGGAAATCCGGATGATGCTGATTCCTGCGTGGAATACTTCCGGTATCAATTCTCCGTGATCCGGCCAGATGAGAGCAATCAACAGACTGGCATCTCCGGAGCCATTGGCGGAGATGCCTCGAGTGCATCTGGGATGCGAGCACGACACTTCTACTCTCACGTAATCTGTGCCCTAGATGTGGATGAGGTGCGCGTCCACCTGCGCGAATGTCTAAAACGAATTGTGGATGCAAATCTAAAAAAGCACGTTATTCTCTGAGAAAGAAGCGAATATCGAGAGCCAAAAACAGATTTGAAGGCAGCTGATGCAATCAAAACTGCACTTCTATTCTCGCAGCTTCGGCAAACAATTCCCACTAGCCCAGATTAATCGTGCTAAATATTCCTCACATTCATTTTTTAAATTAACCTGACATCGACAGATTTCCTCATATCTTATCCGGCGCAGATTCGCCTTGGAAACAACTTAGAATGGCACACTTTTTATGAAGTTAGTTTACCGCATGGCCACTATTTTGTAAATAGCATTGGTCTTTGCCTTATTGAGATAACATGGTACCCTTTGCTTAATGTCTTTCGACAAGTGTACAAATTTCATATTTAAAACTAAACCTAAAGAGCTTTCTGCTGTTACCAAAAAATTGAAATACTAATTGAAGCTTTCTTAGTTGAACACTCACATAGTCTTATGAGCTCAAATATAGAGCATGGATAGCATGAACACACTAAGCATTCGAACAAATAAAGGAGTATTTCTGCATGGTTAAATAAACCTTTGCTTATCAGTAGACTAGGATGTCATGACTTATCGGAGTTTATCAGACTTTATATTTCATAGTCCTAGACATTTTTATTAAACATTTCTATCATCCATAGATAAATATTCGTACTTCTGTATCCTGGGAGTGATGCTAACTATTTAAGGGAAGTTGTTCGCACATGACTAACCAGAGAGATTAGGTCACCTGTAGAGCAGTTATTCAGGTAATCGCTTAAATTATGCATATAAAGATAGGATTATATTATAAAAACCTAATTTGTCCTGTACAGCTACACAAATGAAATGGAAGAGGCAAAGGAAAAACAGGAAAATTAAAATGGGGAATAACAGAAAGAGCAAGCATATTTATAAATAGGCAGACATATAGCTTATACATATGTTTTCCTGGTAGTCTCGAAAACTAATGTCGAGTCGGTTAGGGTCATGTTTACGAGTTGAAAACTCTCCTTATGCTTACAAATTTCGCCATAAATCTGTTCAATGTAAATCTGATGACTTGCCCGAGCCGCATAATTGGCCCTGTTTTTGCAAGCTCTCCAATGTAAGGTATAAGTCGTCTTATCTTATCACAAAATTTATTGTCTGGTAGGTATTGTGATCCTTAAGACGTCCTCCTTCTTCTGGTAGGAGGTGGGGCAAATTTGCTTTTGTTTCGATCATGGCACAACTTTGAAGTGCTCCAGACTTGGTAAAGCCTAAGATCGGCGTCAAGCTTAAGTTGGTATTTCTGTTCACTTCATACCACTTTCGTTTTCATTTAATTTCCTTCATTCTCCCATCATTTTCTCTCATGCCGAATCGATGGATATGAACTAACCAGGCTTCATTAAAACTTCACTTAACTTAGGCATAAATAAACAACTAGATTTTAGGAAGGGAAATTGATCACCTATACATGG